TATAGTACCATTTATTTCCCGGTCGATTGTTTTTAAAAGGTATTTTTCTTTTGTTTTCTTTTCCTGCAGAATCTTCTTTTCTTGTAACCTCTATGATGAGCTGTTCGACGGTATTGAGAACATCATCTTTTTTTCTGGGAAACCCTGCTTTTGCTAGTTCACAAATCCAATTGGAAAGTTTCCCTTCCTCTTCTGTGGAGATTGCTGTGGATGGTCCCATTTTTCTTGGTCCCTCCTTAACACGACCGTGTAGCCTATCTTGAATTGCGCCTCTTAGAACATTATAAACTCTACTGGCTTGTCTTATTTTCAATTGGTTGTTACGGACAGACTGCAACGCTAATGCTAGAGCTTCCTCTGAATATTGGTGAATCACCTTCTTTTTTAACTTTTTTTCTTTAATTATTTTTTTAGTTTTTGACATTTTTCTATAAAATAAAATCAAATGTATTAAACGACAGGTTCGGCTGAATATAGGAACCTTTATAATCTGTGTATAGGAATAGTAAATTACTCAGCCCCCTAAATTTAAGGTGGCTGTAATTAAAAATATGATTTTTCAGTCGTCAGCCACTCGAAAATTCAGGGGTGCCATAAATAAATAAAGGTGGCTGAATATAGGCAATTAAAAACCTATTTATTATACTAATAAGATGGTCATCCCCAAAAATGCGACAAAAATGTAATTTTGCATGAGAAAGACAAAGAAAGAAAAAACCTTGTTTCCAGTTTTCAGCCCTCTGGCTGAACTAAGGGTTTTCTTAAAAAATGATTACCCCTAGTTCAGGTTAAAAATTTATTTATTCTTTTTTCGCTACAGGATATTTAATAAACTATAGTTTTTCCTAAAACAATTAGTACCTGACTTTTACTTACCTGTTGAGGTAAAACCGATATTTACTTTCTTAACTTTTCTTACACTTGATAAAGTATTCAAATGATTTAGCAAGTGATTGCCCGTGGTATATCAGTTTCAAAGGAAAAATCGTATGTGAGTGGGCAAAAAGTGTCATTTATCGAGTCGTTTGAAACTGCATGTGATCATGTACAAATTTTCAAAGTGAAATTTTGCCAAGCAAACGTAAACCGTGACGCGGAATGTGGCGTGTGGACACTCCACACTCCAGAGGAAAGCACGTCTGAAATCCCTTCCCGTTCTATCATTGCGCGCGGCGATACTCACTCACGTACATGATTTTCCATATGTTTTTGCAGATAACAAGATAAACCGCGCGCAATAACGTCTGTGTATGGCCAGCTAATAGCAGTTTCAAACGACTCGATAAATGACACTTTTTGCCCACTCACATACGATTTTTCCTTTGAAACTGATATACAACGGGCAATCACTTGCTAAATCATTTGAATACTTTATCAAGTGTATGGAACATGACGCTTTTTTGCCATGCCGTTCTTTCGTGCATACTAACCGCTACATCCCAACACGCCACGATAAACCGCGCGAAATAACGCCTGTGTATGGCCAGCTAATGTCAAACATTTCTTGCTATCAACAAATCATTTGTTTTGTCAGTGCATCCTACATTACATGTAACTACAGTTACATTTGGGTCAGAATTTCTCAAACGGGCCACCTGAATTAGGTCAAAATTACTTTTTGATTGTAGATACATTTTTTCGATAGTATTTTACATCACTAAAACAAATCCTAAAGGATTTTGAAAAAAAAAATTTTCAATTGACATATTCATGATATTAAAAGTAAAAGTTTTTAGTAATTAAAAAATAAAAAAAATCATTATGGCTAAAATAATTATCCGATTCCAACGATATAACTAGCGTTGGAATCTTGTTTTGACATAGATTCTTTGTTATTTTTTTCAATTGTACAATTTTCATTTAGGTCGATTTTTTTTTGTTTTTTTTATAACAAATTCGGAAATAATTGGCTTCTGCGCCAGCTATCGACTCGAAAAAAAAAACACATATACTCCAATCATTTTTCGAAATTATGCTGCTGGGAAAAAAATGGCCCGCAGACCAGACCCACCGTAAGACGTCGCGTCACAAGCGCGTACAGCATACACGGTTCGGAGCGTGAGCTGACACCGCGCGCGGCCACAAAAGGACGAATAGCTGGCCATACACAGACGTTATTTCGCGCGGTTTATCGTGGCGTTTGGGATGTAGCGGTTAGTATGCACGAAAGAACGGCGTGGCAAAAAAAAGCGTCATGTTCCATACACTTGATAAAGTATTCAAATGATTTAGCACGTGATTGCGCGTAGTATATCAGTTTCAAAGGAAAAATCGTATGTGAGTGGCCAAAAAGTGTCACGTGACGCGAAATGTGGCGTGTGGCGTGTGGACACTGCTGAAATGATGTACGCCACAATCCAGAGGAAAGCACGTCTGATATACCTTCCCGTTCTATCATTGCGCGCGGCGATACTCACTCACGTACATGATTTTCCATATGTTTTTGCAGATAACACGATAAACCGCGCGCAATAACGTCTGTGTATGGCCAGCTAATAACTTTTTGTCAACCTGCGGGCCATTTTTTTTCTCAGCAGCATAATTTCTAGAAATGATTGGAGTATATGTGTTTTTTTTTTTCGTGTCGATAGCTGGCGCAGAAGCCAATTATTTCCGAATTTGGTATAAAAAAAAACAAAAAAAATCGACCTAAATGAAAATTGGACAAATGAAAAAAATAACAAAGAATCTATGTCAAAACAAGATTCCAACGCTAGTTATATCGTTGGAATCGGATAATTAGTTTAGCCATAATGATTTTTTTTATTTTTTAATTATTAAAAACTTTGACTTTTAATATCATGGATATGTCAATTGAAAATTATTTTTTTACAAAATCCTTTAGGATTTGTGTTAGTGATGTAAAATACTATCGAAAAAATGTATCTACAAACAAAAACTAATTTTGACCTAATTCAGGTGGCCCGTTTGAGAAATTCTGACCCATTTGCATTGTTATTGTAAACAAAAAAAAATGATTTTTTCAATGTAAATGGAAGTAATTGCATATTTGAATGTAGTTTTTAGTTCTGATCAAATTTATATTGTATTATTTTCAGAAAATAATACGAGATTAGCGTTTTACTGACAGATGGATAACTCTCATTATTTTTATTCAAATGGCAAGGTTGGACTTTTTTTGCGCAAAATGCTCGTGCGCTCACTATCTATGTATGTATGTATTGTAAATTACTCAGCCAGCATTGGATTGAGTTAGCACTTTGCGCATCTGTAGTCATGCGCACGCTATTTGGTGTAACAATCCTTGTGGTCTAGAGCTACTCCTCCTTTATTTAGTCTTCTTGCTTTATATTTTACTTTGCTCACAAATTCCTGTCACAGGATTCCTGTAATCGGTAATAATTTTAAGGTTATATATTCCAGTGACTGAGAAACTAGCGACCTCAATTAATATTTAACTTCTCTTACTTTAAGTACAAAGTTATGTTGCTATTTTACCGAAAACAGTTTATATTTTTAAACCTCCAATAAACAATTCTCAATAATTTATTTATTAGTTTATTTGTTTTAATTTAAAAAATACCTACCATTATGCATTTAAAACGTTCAAACAAGTTTTGTTACATATTAAAATCAGGTGTTAATTTTAGTTTTATGAATAAACTTTGATAGGCAACTAACCATACATAACGTGCCATTAGATTGCCTACATAATAAAAAGCTTTTTTTAATGATCATCTCATTTATATTTATTTACAAATTAATTTGTCATATAACATTATTTACAAGTAATTTACGATCTTTCATTATCAAATACAATATTTATAAATCCATTGCAATTAATAACACCTACGAAAAATTAGCGACACTGTTAAATTTAAATTAATAACAAATTAATAATAATAATAATAATAATAACATATTACAATAGATAAATTACACTATGATACAGACATTTGTTTAGTCGTTTTTATTCGTTATTTGCTCTCCCTACACAAATACAAACAACAAAAATTATTTGTAAAAAGAACTATGCAAATGTTAGTAGGGCAAGTACTTAAATTAAATTTTCTCTAGATTTTCTCCATATAATATCACATTCACATTGATTTTAATACACAGGGTGTTTCAATTCATAGCAAAATCACACTGTATATTCCAAGGTTACATAAGTACAGAATTTAATAATTCAAAATCAGTTAATTATTAAGATTGGTGACTTAAAAATAAATAAAATGTATGCAAAGTCAACTATTGATTGAATTTGTTTTTTAATAAATTTTTATAAATTATACCCGTATTGTATTGTGATTTTTTTTTATTTTTAAGACACCAATACCACAATAACATCAAACTGAAGTACGGAAATAAATAATTTTTAAAATTTTGATTTAGTATGAAAATATGGAAACAGGAAAAGTCAAAATATCCCGGTTGTAATCTACAATATAAAGTATATGGTGTTTCCAAAATGACTTTTTATGACGAGTAGTTTTTAAGTTATAAGGTTTTGTATCCAATGTTTTAATTGATCTATTAGGATGGGGTTGTAATATGGAACCCAGCTAATACTATTGAACCAGTGATGACATCTATATGTATTAACTAAAACAATTGTTTCAAACTTCGTTTATGCAGTGTTGTCCCTGGTTTATAGGTCACTACAGGGTCGAAGGCAGGGGGGGTTGGGGTTTGAACCCCACCCCCCGAAATATGTGTTGAGTATTATTTAGAAATCCTAACAAGCTTATGATTTTTATGATTCTATTTTACTCCTATATTTTACCAACCCCCCCGAAAATGCGCCTGGGTCACTATAGTTTTGTTTAATGCATATAGTTGTCGCCACTATAAGAGAGGGGTTCCGTATAATAAATAGGTTTAATATTACCCCAATGTAGATTATAGAGCGAAATATTTTGACAAAAATGCAAAAAACTAAACCAACGGAATGTAATCCTTAGTAAAATCATATTGCACATTAATAATTATTAAAATATATATATTCAATCATCAAATGAAAAAAGTGTTGGTCGTGTTAAGAAGTAGAACTTTCGTGCCGCGTACCGCGTAGGAGGGTGTCTTTGATCAGGGCCTTCCAACAATCTAAGAGCAGGGCTGCGGCGGCAACGTTGCTTTTTACCTCGGGTAGCGGCGACGTTGCCGTCGTTCGCGGCGGCTAGTTGTTACTGTGTTAGGGACTGGCCGGCAGACTTTCGTCGCTGTCTAGATACGTCACGTAGCTGTCAGTGCTGTCCGGGTGGGTCATTGCGTCTGAGGGGGGCAGGCCGCCCGGACCGCCCAGGATGCCCGGGTGCGGGCCTGGTGGGCCTCCCATGGAGGGGGGCGGCAGGTCATAGCCGTGCATCTGAAACAAGAAAATTATATTGTTAATAACGCAGGGCTCCCACACCTCCTAAAACTCATAAAATTACTAAAATTTTGCTTAAATCTTGAAAACTCCTAAAATTCTCCTAAAATTGCATTCAATCTCCTAAAACTCCTAAAATCCTAAAAATTAAATTTATATAGGCCAACCCGACTGCGTTTAATTAAGGTAGTGCTAAAAAAACTTTTTTAAAAAGCAATTTAAAAAAATATATATTTAGGTTCATTTTTATTAAATTCTTTTTAAAATGACCAACATTTTTCTTAAAAACAACAAAAAACTTCTACAAAATTGTCATTTTTAGCGATATTTCGTTTTTTAGTCAAAAATATACCGTGTTATATATCAAACAAAAGGATTTTTAATTTTCTTAAAATAGTAAACAATCTAAATAATGTTTTGCTGTATTTTGCAACCTTCATATTTTGTTATGAGATTAAAGTATATAAAATCCACATTACAATTGAATCGCTGAGAATAAGAGTACAAGCATTCAATGGTACAAGTCCAAAAATTTAATTTTGACAATTTATTTTCTAAAATCAATTTTAAAGATTAAAATACTTTTTTGTGAGAAGATATAATTACAGAATATAAATATTATATTCCATAAAATAGTTAAAATGTTCTAACAAAAATGCATTTAGAACTATAAAACTGATTTTTGAAATATTTTATCAAAAATTTTACTTTTGTACTTGTACTATTCTTAATCTTACCGATTCAATTACTGTTAGATATTAACTTAACGGTTAACATATTTTTTCTTAAAATGTAAATATAACATCATTTGATTTTGGCCTAGTTTTTAAGCCAAATCTATCGACGCATTTTTTTAAATAAAATTAAAAGTATGGTGAAATTTATACTTGTATATACTTCTATATTAGGGTGAGCCAAAAAAACTAACCTATCGGATTTATGGGTTAAAATGAACCTACATACCGAGCAAAAAATTTCCCTGCAAGGCAAAATTTTTTGCTCAATTTTAAAAGGTGTCGGTGAGCATTCTAAGTTTTCCATTGAAATAACACGTAAAAAAATCTTTTTTCATTAAAAAGACTATAACTTTTGAACCGTTTGAGATAAAATTTTTTACGTCGCGGATTCTTGTAGAGCATAAAATTTCCCAAAGAATCTATACCAGGATTATTTTTTTTAATTAAAAAATTTCTATGTTTGAAAGCTTTGAAAAGTGTAAAAAATCACTAAAACTGCAGTTCATTTTAACCCATAAATCCGATAGGTTAGTTTTTTTGGCTCACCCTATTGTATATACTTGTATAATATAATATTATTAGACTGGGCCAAAAAAATCAACTATTTTTTTTTTAAACTATATCGAAAATATGGTTTGGGGCGACAAAAAAAATTATTGTGAAAGTTTGAGTCCATAATATTATTATTAAGAGGTCTATCATCTCAATTTTAATTTTTTTTCCCTCATTAAGTTTTTGTCTCAGAACTCCCAAACCATTGAGTTTAACAAAATTTACTTGAAAATATTTTTTTAAGAAAATTAAATGCTCTAAGGTTAAATAAAATTTTTCGTCAGATGAACAGTTTCCTTAAATCATGCCCTAAACATTGGTATAGTTTTACATTTTGATCTTTTAACGTTGGAATTTTTAAATTCACGTAAAAATCAGTACCCATAAAAAAACCAATAAATATTCTTATGTGAAATCAAATGCTTTACAAAAAAAGCCTCTTAACATTTTTGGCTAAATTTACTCTATCAAAAGTTATTTTGGCAAGAATTTCGTTTTGACTTCAACTTTAACCTCAGATATATACAGAAGTAGTAATTTTACCTCACTTTTTTATTAAAAGAACTCGATTTTTATTAAAAAAAACTCGTCGAGCGATTGGACTTCTTATTTTTTAACTAGTAAAGAGTTGTTTTTATTTAGTTAAAGAAATTCATTTCCATATTTTATTTCTCCTAAAATTTTACAAAAAACCTCCTAAATTCCTAAATAAAATTTGTAATTTAGCCGTGGGAGCCCTGATAACGTGAAATAAGTCAACTATCATTTAGCAGTTTTATTTTTGCTTATAAATTTCATTCTTGATACATTACAAATTTAAATGTGATATCTTAAAATGTTCAAATTTTGTACTGCGTTTTTAGTTAAAGGGGTAAGAAGCAAACAGATACAAGTACAAAAAAAGTGGAGTTATTAACTTTTAAAGTTTTTGCTATATCCAAAAAACTGGATACTTGTTCTGTGCTTGTTTCAATATTATTGTTTGCATTAATCAACATGCAGAACACAATTTTCACGTTATAAGAAAATTAATTGGCAAGAGTTTGTGTTATTATTTTTATTATGTATTTTATATTAAGAGATACATATGTATTTTTTGTTTTATTTTTATTGATAAGACCTAAATAAATGTTATCTTTAATCGTGTTGTTTTTATTTCATATCGCCTATTTTAGGTGGTTAAGGCCTATTTTAGGCACTTTCGGCCTAAAACGGCCTAAAATGTAGGTTTTTATTGCCTATTTATGTGATCTAATTTCCAATTTTTAAGCAGGAAAATAACTTTTTTGAAACTGAAGATAATTAAAAACCGATTGCCCCAGAAAGCCACATCAGATAAAAAAGTTTTGCCAATAAATGTACAAGATACCTATAACTTTATATTCCTACTCTCCTAAAATGAATTGGTCAAAAATGACTAATTGCCATAGCGAAAAAGCAGCCACTAATAATTTTCGTCAACAGCAATTTGTATCCCGGGTATTTAGGAGTAATTTCTATTAAAAATATCTCAAAAACTGCTCTACATAATTTTTCTTTGCTTTTTGATTCAGGGGACAATTTTACATAAGAATTGGCTGTTTAAATGTCTGGGATATAAATTGCTATGGACTACAGTTATTAGTGACGTTGAAACTATTCATTTTTAACTAAGAGTAGGGGAAGGTGCGGGAATTCTGCGCATCTAAGCAAAATCTCTAGTATCTTTGTTAAGTTTAAATGTGAAATTTTACAATTAATACCAGCGATAGTCTTCTATGTTTACTATGTGTATATAATGCGCAATTTATAAAAAAAAATTGTTTGGTATGCAAAAACTACATTTTTTTAAATAATGCATTTGCGCTGTATAGAGAAAGATTTGTAGGTATCTAAATAAACCGTTTATTTCTATAATATTATTATGTTAAAACATAAAAGTAAAATAAAATGTTTGTTCTTATAAGAATATATAGAAATAAGAGGGTCTACATGCAGCAGTTGTCACATATTTAGTTTTAGGGGTTGTTTTTTTCGCTACACTCCGCGTGTGCCCAAATGGAACTGTTTATGCTGAACAATCTAGGCTCCTGTACCAAAAGCTCCCATATTGGCCAAATTTTGCAGCGCAAAATTACCCCAATTTTTAAGCGTAAAATTACCCCCATTGCAAGAAAAATATTCCAAATCCAAAAGTTAACCTGAATAATTTAAACATACACCAGATTACGAGGAAAGATCATATAAAGTTGTGTTATAAACATTTAAGCGATTGGACAGAAATTTAAACTTAACTCGTAGCGGAAACGACATGGATTACTTAGATCAACGTACATGTATTACAGTTAGCTAGTGACCATGGTCACTAGCTAAAAGCTACAAGCTTAATTGCGGTACAATTTAGTCCCCGTATACCCAAAGCAACGTTTCCAAGTTTGCAACATTCAAAAAATGTATTATTTACTTCATATCTGGAAGAATTGTTTATGCGTAAACTGCATGCACATTCGTTTGCTCCGCCAACTTATATATAAGTCACTAAAACACCCTAACATGCAGTCTGGCCACTATAGTGGCCAGACTGCATGTTAGGGTGTTTTAGTGATTTTTTACACTTTTCAAAGCTTTGAAACATACGAATTTTTGAATAAAAAAAATAATCCTGGGATAGATTCTTTGGGAAATTTTATGCTCTACAAGAATCCGCGACGTAAAATTTTTTATTTTAAACGGTTCAGAAGTTATGGTACCTATTTTTAATGAAATATTTTTTTACGTGTTATTTAAATGGGAAACTTTAAATACTCACTGTCATCTTTTAAAATTGAGCTAAAAATCCTGCCTTGCAGGAACATTTTTTTCTCGGTATATAGGTTCATTTTAACCCATAAATTCAATAGGTTAGTTTTTTGGCTCACCCTACTGCATATCATATTTTAGAACAAACCAAAATGCAGTTTAAAAGAAATTGCACATGTGGGTAACATTTGCTTTTTGTGTCGCACAAAAAACTTATAGATATAACCCTATATCTATATAAAGTTGGCCATAGACTGGCATACATGTGTATTGCGTACATGAATGTACATATGTCAAAACCTTTACCAAGTCTTATGACATACATACATAACATTGTATGACACGGTATATATACTAATATATATGCTAATCTATGGCCACCTTTAGATGTTAGGTTGGGTACATACCTGGTTCACTAGCTGTTGAAAGGCGGGTTGGTGAGGTTGTTCAAGGTCGGAGTGCAACGCGAAGTCGCTGAGCGCCTTCCACGGTGGTTGGTAGGCCTGCACTTCTAACGGATGGACTCCAATCGGGGAATCGTGCCGGACAGGTGATGAAGCGACCATGGGAATACCCTGCATCGCGCCGTAGCCCAACTTTCGCCCGTCCTGCGTATAATACTACAAATTGTTAGTGCAATATCCAAAAATAATAGTACAATTTCAACAAAAACTCCATATTTAAAAAAAATAAAGAAATCCCTAACTCCAATGCATTTTTCTATGGCTGTTTGCTGTGCAACTTAGATTTTAAAAAGCCTTTTTAACATTCTTAAATTTGTTTTCGAATTTTTTTTTAATAATAATGACAACAAAATAAATAAAAATAATTAAAATGATTGTAAAAAACTAATTACTTTAAAAAACAAAAAAATTATGGTGAAATACGTACAAACAACGTTTGCAACTACACGAAGAATATAACCATAGGTAACCATTGATGTGCAGAACCAATTATGTAGGCTCCTTAAGGAGTCCAAACTTCATGTAAACAAGAATATTCCTAAGATAAGAAGGCGCTGGTGTACCGTTTATTAATAAACAATTGCTTGATTTTTACCGAAACGCTACCTACCAAAAGAGCAGACTTAATATGTGCAATTAAAAGGGAAGGTTTTGTCAAGTTCCCCTATTAAGTTCGTGTAGCCTTCATGTGCAGAACACCAGACGTCAATGTCAATGTAATATTTTAAATCTTACGACTTCTAATAAAATCTCACCGGTACCGGTTACTTTGACAACAGCAATGGTTATTTTTGTTACATCAATGTCAGAATATTATTTCCAATAGTTTATTGAGTGGATTACTGTTCTGCGCATCAATGGTTACCTATTGTTTTATTTTCTCCGTGTACACCTAACGAAAACGAGAAAAGAAAATTAAAAAACTCAAACGTGTTATCGATCATGGAGCAGACACGATGTACCTTCTCCCCCCCGTTTACGGTTAGAGACGAGGGGGCGTGTCCCTCGGGATACCCCTCCCCCACTGCGCCCAGCCAATCCTGTCCCTCGTCGTCGTGCACGTGACCGTCGCTCCGACACATCGATTGCGGTGTCTAGATGTTGGTGCGCGGCACGCGATTGGTCCGATCGTAAATCTATTCGACGCGATTGCCCGGCAACGCGAGCATACGACGCGTATAATACGCTGTTTCTTATTCTTTTACTTCTACTGTTCACTTTTTTTTAGAGGCTCTTTCTTTTGTGACGGAACAGGTTTTATTTGGTTTCCTTAGTTTTGGTTTAGTTCTTCTACTGGACATTTAGGATTTAACCTTGAGTTTTTTAACTGTTCAATTTTTGTCAAGAATATTCTGAATTTTACTAAGCGATAAATATGGTATGTCTTAAAACTGTCTTAAATGTTCTAAGGCTGTCAAAAAAGTCCCAAGTCCGCAAAAAATTGTTACTTCGTGGCCCCACTGCATGAGGGTGGGTGAAATAATGATTCCCTAATTGTTCGTTTCTTAAGTTCGACCCGTGGAAAAAATAGAATTAATTTTGTCTACGGGCTGAAGTTAGCTTTAAATTAAAAAAGATGACGTTGAAAATGTCTGACAGAATCTGTCAATATGGCAATCTTATTTGATATTTCATTTGAAATTGTTCATGTGATTTTAAATAAAATTAGCTTTACATTCCTTGTTGTTTAATTGTTCATAATTCGTTTTTACACTGTTATTTATCTTGCAGTGGCTGAATAAAATATTGTATGCGACTATTGGTCAAAAGAGAAGATTCCACTAACTTCACGTGAGCGGTATCCCCTCATTCTCCCATTAGTCGCAAAACACCTGCAGGGAATATATAATTTCGGTGCCCTGCTGAGATTGGGGAAATACCCGTTTGTTCATTTATTAATTTCGCCCACTAGCTATAGGTAAGTTAAAATTGGAAAAAATGTGAGGTTAAAACTGTTTGATAATTTAGATGTCAGATAAAATATTAAATAAAGTTGGCTTTAAATAACTTGCGGTAGTTACAAAAAATATAGTGTGTGACTATGGGTCAAAAGAGGAGAGGGTGACACCGGAAGAATCTCCTCTTATGCCCACAATTCGCACAATATACTTATTATATATTATTATATACTTATATACGCACAATATACTTAAATAATAAATATATCTATTTATCTATCTATCTATCTATGTCTTACCATTCTTGTAAGAGATATTTAAAAAAGGAAGAAAAAATCATGTAAGTATTGTAAATTAACAAAAAGTAACATAACCTAGGTACTATTTGTATTTTTATACACAGCAAACAGTTACCGAAAAATTTATTGGAGTCTGATATTTTTTTGAGTTTGCGAGTTTAAAATACATATCTACGGGTACAGGCTTTTTTTATTCAGAATTTAAAATATTTGATCATCTGCATATACTGATAATTATCCAAGAATACATGTGTATTTCTACGCTGGGAATGCCTACTATATTTCATAAAAGGCATTTTATTTCAATTTTTAACAACTTAGGTAGGTATGTCTGACATTTCAAAATTTATTATCATATAACATTACCACAATTTTAGTCTCCACTTAATTAGGTAGTTTGTTTTACTCTTCTACTCAATGTAGCCAATTATCAATTTAGGTTTCCTAGAATTTTCCAACTAAAGGCGTTTATAGATTGCCTTTCTTCCTTCCTTCCTCCCGTAAAAGATGAACAATACGAAAACCGTAGTGCTGTTACTAAATTCCCTTACGGAAATTTATAAACAGCACTAAGGTTTTCGTATTGTTCATCTTTTACGCGAGGAAGGAAGGCAATCTATAAATTAGGCTTAACCCCCTTAATTTTTGACGTCAAATTCTGAATAAAAAAATCAAACTAGGTGGATTTTGATTTCATAAATCTTAAAATCTTTTGAAAACTTTGGATTGGATTAAGTTACATGAAATCGTAATAATTTCCATTTTCGGACCTGTCGTCAATAACAGATACCAACCTTCTCCTGCTGCATCTGCTGCTTCATCAGTATCGTCTTCTTCTTGTCCTTGCACCGTTTATTCTGAAACCATACGCGTATGACGCGGGGCGACAGGCTCGTCATCTCGACGAGCTGCTCCTTCATAAGCGCGTCGGGACGTGGGTTCGCCGCGTAGCAAGTGCGCAAAGTGTGCAGCTGTTTCTCGTTCAGCACCGTTCGCACCCGCGTCGGTTTGCCGTCGCTGCCCGCCCCGGCGCCTCCACCTCCGCCTCCTGAGCTTTTTCGTAGTCCGCCGCCCTTGTGCGAGCCGCTCTCCGAACCGCTGTCTGGAAATAAAGAAGGATGTTGTTAAAGAATAGTTTGTTAAATGGTAAGTCAGGGAACTTTTTTTTCAAAAAAATACCTAAAAAAATTTTTGACACATTGTAACTTTTGTTCATGACCTAGAGGTTCAATGCCTTAATTTTACTTTGATATTTTCATTTAAGTGTTGGAATTATAATTAACAATTCCAAAGATAACAGAAAATTTTAAACGAAATGAAATTTTTAAAACAAAACTGCATTTTGATGCATAAATCCACTAAATAATTTTGTTTTACTCAATGTAGCCAATTATAAATTAATTATGGCTACATTGAGTAAAATTGGCTACATTGAGTAAAACAAAAGCCTTTATAAAATTACCTACTGTTTGTTTCTCAAAATACTTTAATAAATTTAAAGATTTTGTCAATTTTAGCATTAAATACTATTCTTTGTACACAAAAAAAAGAAGACATATTTGAATGCCTATTTTAAATATACGCATACGAATTTGTAATTAAAATTTTTTCTACCTTTCTTAACACGTTCGCTGCGGAAGGTATTTTTTAAGTAATTTCTGGGTGCGTTACGGGTCAGAACTGCCCCGTATTAGTTTTCCACAGAGTGCGTTACGGGGTATATGTGTCCCGTATGCACTGTGTTGCATTTTTATTCGTAACTTAGTACATGCTTAAAGTAGTGAGGAGTTAAGTTGGCAAAGTAATCTAGAGGCTTGGTTTTATAATTCACTGCGACCGCGCGGGGCTCCTTACAGAAATTTACATTTTATTGCAAAAATTTTTTTTTTTGTAAAAAATATTAATTTTATGACATAAAATAAGAATTAAAATAAACTTTCCCATAACTTTTTTCTTCAAATTTATTATAAAGTGTTTTTCTTGTTCTGAAGATTCTGAATTTTTTTTTAGAATTCTATTTATTATAGTCAATTTACAGAATTTAATTATTTTTATTTAAAAAAGTTATTTTTTTGTGAAAAATATTAATTTTATGACATAAAATTAGAATTAAAACAAAAACCTTCACTTAAGTGAAAAAATTTTTTTGATTAATTTTATAGCCAAGACACTTAGGTTATGCGCAGATCATCAAAAGTCACTGCTTGACGATGAACCCCGTACCGCACACAGTGAGAAATTTATCATCCAGTGCGTTACGGGCCGTATATATCCCGTATTATTTTTGGGGCGAATAAAATTAACAATAAAGTATGGATTCGATATGTACCAATAACATTTAAATATCTTTAAAGTTGACTGAGTTATTGCTTCCGCATTTTAAGAAGGATATGCTTTATTTTATGCCGCACGGCAGGAGAATGCGTTACGGGGTCGTATCGACCCCGTAACGCAGCGAACGTGTTAAACAATTTTTATGAACGCTACAGCGTATTAAAAAACGCAAGATTCAAAACGCGTCGTTTACCTTAAAGAGAGCACGTGACGTAACAAATGTGTCAAGAATTACAAATGAATCCAACATCCATTTCTAGCACGTTGACACTACCGAGACCACTATGTAAAAGTCACATTTCGTAATAGCATCGTTGCTTAGAAAATGAATCTTTTCATTGGCAAGGCAAAACACGAATGTAAAGTGACAGGTCTGTGTGAAAAGAAATTGACAGCATCGTCTCGGCAAATATCACGAAAAATCGCCAAAATTGTCTCACGTAATTAATGAACGGCCCCTTATACCTTAAAAATTAAAAGAATAAGATGAAAGTAATTTTAACAGCTCTCAATTGTATTTGAATATAATAAAAAATAAAAGGGTCGTAGAAAAAACATTGTGTTTCACTTGTGAGAAAAGCTTTCTTCAAGCTCGTGTTAATGCACACTCGGCCTGACGGCCTCGTAAGCAACTTTAACACTCGCATGAAAAAGTCGCTTTTTAACACTTGTAAAACAAATAACTATTTAAGGAAAAATTTATAGTAAAAATATACCTAAATGCTTAGTTAAACCACCGACGATTTTTGGACTCTTTTGACATTTTAAAAAGACGCAGAGAAACGTCAAAATCTCACGTTCGTCCGGGTACCTTAACCTCCATATCTCGGCCAATTTTAGACCGAGATCATTTTTTCATGTAAAATAATTCTCTCTGGAAGCCCAAAAAAGTTTGAAAGAAAACTTAAAAAATGCCGCTTTTTATGGGTTTTCGAGCACACCTTAGTCATTATTATTTACGGACAACATTGCGGCAAGTAGTGTAAAACCGGAACATTTCCGTAAAAAATATTATTCGGCTATGCCCCAAAGAACCGCCACTGAAATCATATTTAAGAATGTTAAGAAAATTATTTTCAAACCCATAAGAGTCAAATTTAAAATTATCAATATCATTTCAAAATTTCACTAATGACAACATTTTTTAAAATTTATTAATATACCTACTGCCCGTCAAAATGAACGCATAATAAGTAAAAAAGTTCTAACTCTAAAACGCCTTTACCAATCTTTATGAAATTTTGTATAAAAATACTTATATCTCAGTTACCTGCAGGTAACTGAGATATAAGTATTTTTATACACCATGGGGTTTTTCGAAAAAATATTTTTAAAGCACTTTTATTTAATAATTAAAAAACCTTTCGAAAAATAACTTAAAGGGATTTCTTTTTTAGTTAAATAAAAAATATGCTGTTAAAGACAGTATTTTTGTTAGTATACCCTGAAAATTTTGTGCAAATCAAACAAACAGTAACGAAGATCCAGCGCTTCAAAGTCGGTAAAAATGACCTCTTTTTGATTATATTGCTGAAAAATGGTTATTTATGACGAGATTGAAGCGCTGTATTTTCGTTACTGTTCGTTTGATTTGTACAAAATTTCACAACATATTTTTTATTTAAACTTAAAAATACCTTTCCTTATAAGGAATTATATATACATGTTTTTTTTGGAGCATTTTTTATTATTAAATAAAAGGGCTTTAAGGATATTTTCTCGAAAAACCCTTGAACACGTAAACTGAGATATAAGTTGAAGTATTTTTAAACAAAATTTTATGAAGATTGGTTTAGGCGTTTTAGAGTTGGATTTTTTAACTTGTTATTCGTTAATTTTGACTCGTAGTTTAGATTTAAGAATGTCAAAACACATTTTAAATTGTACAAACAATATTTAAAAACCCCCAACTTACTAAGAATGTCAACACTTGTTTTATTTAATGTTAAGACCTTAGACAATAAAAGAGCGTGGACCAAGCTGTGAACAGTTCCATGCCTAATTTAATTATAACTGATATTATTCTAAATAAAAGACCGCTTATTTGTTTATTTAGTTCAGCAGTTACTTTCCAGACACTTAATACATAATAAAACTTGGTTTTTATACTTTAAAATCAATCTATATTAGCAGTAAGTATTCAGTATTATAACTGCAGGCAAGTTGGCAAATGCAAATCCCTTTTGGATTTGGGCTTAACACCCTACGTGTCCACTGCAGCACTAAGCTAATTGTCCATTAGTCCGGTTTTAATCCAGACCGTAAGTCCGGAGCGTGAAACGGTGACCAACCCGGATTTACTCTCTCCACCAAACAAAGTTAGTACCGACTCCGGGTCTTACTGTCCACTTTGTGAATTTTGTATCAAAAGAATTTTGAGATTATTTTGTCATAAGTAAATAAGTATGCTTTATACCATAGTCTATAGAGAGATAGATTACATAAACAGTGCATGAATAAACAGAATATTTAATTATTTTACTGACATTTTCATGATTGTTCAAGGTTTTTGTTATTTTTGTGTTTCTTGCTACAATATTATAATACTCGTACATTATTGTCATTGTTTTTGGATATTTATGCTAGACAAAAATATGAGTTCTTTCTTACATCCATATATTATTTTATTTTCCGTAAAAAGTACCCAATACCTTTGATAGTCGAGATGTTTGCCGGTTACTTTGAGCTTAAGCCCATGGCAAATATTTAAAGAGTAAAAATGTCCAGTCACTTTGTCATCTGAAGCCAAACATCGACCAAATCAAATAGACACACGACGGCCTTTTAACCACTACAAAAAAAAGAACCGACGACGTTTTTTGTTTTTCTTTCTGCGGTGGTTCGTCTTTTACGCATGGTAGAAATTCTCTTGATTTAATTTTGTTGTTTTTCCTTTTTTCTCTCTTACTTTTCGACTTTGACTGACCCTAAATTATTGTTGATTTAGTTTTGTCGCCCTTTTTACGTTATTAAATAAGTCAAAAACGCATTCAAATCTCTTTCGTTGTAATGTTCTGGTATATCCCATGATCCCTTGTATCATGGTATCTCCTACAATTTGAAGAGTTTGATAAACAAATAACAGTAACAAATTCAGCGGTGCCAATATAGTAAAAACAAAACGTTGTATTTTAATTAATACATTAATACCTACTTTATTACAAATTAAAGTATGATTTAAAACTAGAAACAAGATAAAAAGTAAATAAGTAACAGTATAAATGGTTAATTTGTTGTTACAATGGCAAAATTAAAGTTTAAAACGAAATTTTAAGTGATAATTTTACAAAAGGCTTAAAATAGTACCTACATAATAGACCAGGCGTAGAAAGCTGAGGCAGTGACATGATGACAGTTTAGCTTTATTTCTGTATGGAGTTTAATAATATTTTGACTTTTCAACTAGTATTAATTTAAAGCTTTTCTATTTTACTTATGAGTCTTATAATATGAAACTTATTGTACGCATAAAAAAATGTTTTTTGAGATTTTCATAAAAAAATATACTGTACTAATTTAATATAATTTTTAGAATGATCCTTTTTGGTCGTTAAAGTATAAAAACAGATTTTTAAAGGAATCTATGTATGTAAAATAACACTTGTGCAGAAGTGGTATTTCCCACAGATTTTCCTTAGGTTATTTTAAAAATTCATTTCCAAAGTCGAGAAACAAAGAAGTATCGGGTTTTCGCAACGCGCGCGGTATCTGGTGGCAGAGCCGGCTTAAGGCAATTAAGCGCCTTAGGCACTTACAAATTTGGCTCCT